TATAAATGCTTTTTGTTTAAGTTCATTACTTATCTCTTATGAGTGGCATGGCAAAACATTTCAAAGCATTCACAGCTTATTACTGTCAGTGCAGTTACTGGTTTTGTGGACAACAAGACGGACGTTTGCATCAGCAAAACTTTGAGATGAAGACCAATTAATCTGGAATATTGTTGGCTAGAATACCAGGAGAAACTCCTTTCAAATAGTGTCATAGGATCTTTAATGTCCATCAGAACTGGTATATCCATTTAGGTAAATAGATTTTTTAATCTGATTTCAATCAATTACAATGCCTGCAATTCTCTTGATCGACTCTCCATTTCATCTAAAAAAAAATGAATGCTCCCACAACGCTGCTGTTAGTCTAGTCTCTAGACTATGAGCTCAAGTCTGAATGCAGGGTTTGAAACCATAACTTTCTGACATAAAGTAAGAATGCTACTAATTGAGCCAAACACAGTAAATCCATCGATTAATATTTCTATAAATGGAACCTATATATTAGCAATTCTCTAGCTGTTTAAATGTTCTCTGTCAATAACAAATTACTGTAAAAGGATATTGCTTTCATTATTTGAGGAGACAATTATAATTCCACTGGAGTCAGATATGTAATTGTCCTTATATATATTGCCAAAATATTTCAAAATTAACCTTATCAGTAAGGAAATCAATTTAAGCAGTGACTGCAGCATCAATAAACCAAAGCAGACTGTGCAGATAACCAGAGATTGCAGGTATGGGAGGAGTCAGTCCAGGCAAATTCTACATTGTTCATACTGTTAATTATAATAATAATAATCCTTGCATTTTCATGTCTTCTAGATGTCTCAAAGCGCTTCACAGAATATACTGTAATAAACCTGTGTATACCAGAAAGTGACTTGTTTCTCCAACTGAGTAAGTTCATTTCGAAGAACACAGTAATTTAGATTTTATATAATGCCTTTCACATGAGGACTTCTTGAACTACTTCATACAACTGACTGAGAAACCGATCTAGAGGAGGAGTACGAGCTGAAGGGGGAAGAGAAAGTGGCAAAAGTACAATTAAAGAGATAGATCTTCAGAAACAAAAACAGTGAGAGCTGGGAAAACTCAGCAGATTAGGCAGCATCTATGGAGAAAGGAAAGTGAGTCAACGTTTCGGATCCACGACCCTTCGTCAGAACTGGAACATGGGGAGGCAGGACCAGGAAGACAAAGAAGATAAAAAAGAAGACAAAGGAATGTGTTAGTTGATGGGTTAAAGAGGTGATAGTGGCATAAACAACAACAACAACTTGGATTTAGAGAGCCGCCCTCCACGCCGGCCGGCGTCTCAGAGCGCTTTACAGTAACGGATCCTGGGACCGAGGGAGGGGGAGGAAGGTGACCAAAGGCGCGGTCGAAAAGAAAGGTCTTCAGCAGAGACCTGAAAATGGGAAGGGAGGAAGTGAGACGAAGGGAGTGAGGAAGGCAGTTCCAGAGCCTCGGGGCATAGTGGCTGAAGCACGGCCGCCGAGGGTGGAGCGGAGGACTTGGGGGACGAGGAGGAGGCCACACCCGGAGGAACGGAGGCAACGGGTACTGTTTTGTAAAACAAAAGGTGGGGGGGTTGTGGGTTGAAACAAAACTGAGAAGAGGTGTTAATTGTGCAGATAGATCAGACGATAGATCTTCAGGCCTGTTTGAAGGTGAGGAAGGAGGGAATAAGGTGGAGGGGCTCTGGATGCAGTTCTAGAGAATGGGGGCAGAGTGATTGAAGGCTTGCCTGCAAATGGTGGGGTGCACTAGATGAAGTTTGTGAAGCAGCCCAGTGTTTGCTGAGCAGGGGAAGCAAACATGGTGATAAGGTGACAGAAAATCAGAGCTAGACTGGGGCAAAGCCATGAAGACATTTCATAGTGAAGACAAGAATCTTGAATTTGATCCACTGGGGGAAGGAGAGCCAGGGGAGCTAAGTAAAAATGGGGTGACAGACTCACAGAGCCTAGTGTGCGAGAGAGGACTTGCGCTGCAGAGACATGGCCCATCCATCTACCTCTCTTTTGAGCCGATTAGTAAATTTACTTCTGTGTTTCTTGGAACTGATGAGGCGTTGCCAGCTGATTTTTATCTAACTTTCAAGTATCAAAATATATCAGCACCGTGGTGGGCTGCAGGTTTGATAATCCCAGTCCCTAGAGAGTTCAACTCTAGGTGGTTGGTACCTTTCTATGAGGTTAATGCTAAATCGAAGGGGTTTGCTTCACTACACTGCTGTTGTGTCAACTGGCTGATATTGCAAAACATCATTACCAGTGGTAGCAAACAAAAATCCCCCTTCCTCTTTTCAGCCACAGGAAGCATACGGTTCATGAGATTAAGTGCCGATAACCAAGAATACATAGAGGTTAACCAAGAAATCATAGGGATGACTTCCCGTCCCCGCCCGGTTACCTGCAGGGTACCCCAGGGATCCATCCTTGGACCTCTTCTTTTCCTTATCTATCTGCTCCCTCTGGGCGATGTCATTCTCAGACATGGGGTAAACTTCCACATGTATGCAGATGACACACAAATGTAGTTTGCCTCCTCCAGTACCAACTCCAGGTCGGCCGATCAGCTTGTCTGGCAGACATTAGGGCTTGGATGAGTGCAAATGTCCTGCAACTGAATGTGGACAAGACGGAAGCCATATTCCTTGGCTCCTGTCATCATCTTCACTCCGGCAGATCTGAATTCCTCACTCTCCCTGGGCCCTCCCTCACACTCACCAAACTAGCGTGCAATCTAGGCGTCCGGTTTGACCCCCAGCTTTCCTTCCTCCCTCACATCCAGTCCCTGACCAGGACCGCCTTCTTCCACCTCCGCCACATGGCCCACCTCCGACCGTACCTACCCCAAATCCAGCTGAATGCATTTGTTATCTCTCACCTGGATTACTCAAACTCACTCCTTGCCGGACTCCCCAGTTGCACTATTCAAAAGATCCAGTTCATTCAGAACTCTGCTGCCCTCATATTGACCCGGACCAAACTCTGTATCCACATCTCACCAGTTCTGGCCAGGCTCCAACTTCAAGATTCTCACACTCGTGTTCAAATCCCTTCATTCTCTAGCAACCTCCCTACCTTTCTGACCTCCTCACTCCCCAATCCACCACCCAGCGCCTCTGCTCGACTGGCACCGGCCTCCTGCTCGTCCCTCGCACCCTCCACCCCACCATCGGAGGTTGTGGTTTCAGCCACTAAGCCCCGAAACTCTGGTACACTCTCCTTCAATCCCTCCGCCTTGCCCCCTCTCTCCCCCTTTTCAAGTTCTGCCTGAAAATCTTCCTCTTCGACCGTTCTTATGGGCACCTCCCCCCTGGCTCACAGTCAGGCTCCACCACTGTTAAGCACTCCTGCGTGGAGGGCACTATATTAGTACAAGTGTTGTTGTTAACATACCCTCATACACACTGAAAGAAAAAAAAAATTTTAAACTTGCTTCTTGTACCTTCTTGTTTAGATAATTGTAGTGACTGCCAGCAATTTACTGCAATGAGTATGGCTAGTTTCCTTATCTGAATAGCTCCCTTTATATTCTTTCACTGACTGCATCCATGCCAAGAAACACTATGTGTGAATGGCTTGTGTATGTTTATATAGTAACACTTGCGAAGTCTCATTTAAAGCCAAGCTCACAAAATGAAACCAAATTATAAAGACTGATAACAGGAAATCGAGAAGAGGAGAATGTGAGAACCAATTCACATTCTGATGTTGAGATTATCTACATCTGTCAATAACAAATGAGAGGTACAGATGTGAAGTGATATTACCAGTAAAGTGAAAAAAATCATAATTATAATCCTCAGAATTGAGTATCTGAGATGTGATTGCAGTTTTGAATACCCTGTTTTCAAGGATTAGGATGCAGCGATTAACAATGGCAACTCTATACCTTATAAGTAACTTTAACAAATACTGCACAGAGTTCAGTTGAAGGGAAAAAGGACATGTGTGGGAGATGGATTAGATTTCTGGAGTTATTCTCAGTTTCCATGTTCTGAGAGTTTCTGTCAGTGCTATAATAATAATAATCCTTGCATTTGATATCGCGCTTTTCACGTTGGGAGGACATCCCAAAGCACTTCACAGAACACACTGTAAAGTGAATTGACTGTATATTTGTGGGCAAAACCCGGCAGCCAATTGCGCACAGCAGTGTCCCACAAACAGTCGTGGATTGAGTGATCAAATTATTATTGAGTATTTTTTTAAGGTTTCTTATCCCCGGAAAAGTGATCCACCAATCGACTAATCACAACCGGGTTCCTACCTACTCCTAGATAATCAGAGCCGTGTGGAGTAAGGAAACTTGCCCAACGTTTCGCCCTGCCGGGAATCAAACCCAGGTCCTCTCACTTACGAGGTGAGTGCTCTAACCACTACTCTACAAGACACCGAAGTACTTCGAGACGTAACAGACTACCTTCACAGGCTCTTGCAATGAGTGGGCACCAGTGCCAAGCGATAATGCGAGGGTATCGCCTACCCTGCTTTGTCTGCTCATCCTACCTGCAGATCTCTGGACGAAAAGCAAAAAAAAACACTTCCAATGAAAACAGAATAGCCCCATTGCTATAGTCAGTGATAGAGCAGGAGGAACAGAACAGGACCCACCTCCCAACGGTGACAGGCGCTGTGGATATGGGTGTAAATTGTATTGTATCTGTAAGACCTCAATGTCTGTCTGTCTGTCTGTCTGTCTGACATCAACACACTCAACTACACCTATTCCCGGTAAACTAACAGGTTAGACCCGTCCCGAAAGGCACAGGTGACACCACGAGAGGATGCGAAAAGGTTGGCAAACCGCGGGCCACCTTGAGCAGCGCCACCGCTCCCGGTGATGGCGACGCCATGATGGCCACCAGCCGTCGTGCTCCCAGCACCAGCTTCCCCTGACTGGCCGGTGATTGGCTGTTGCTGGAGGTGGTGGTGGGGGGGGGGGGAGAGGAGGAGGAGGAGCGCGCGGGCGGCGGGGGGGGGGGAGTAAATCCCCGTATGTGGCAGCAGGAAGAAGCGGCGGCGACAGCGCGAGCGGAGCTCGGACCAACCGTCAGGTACTGCGCGCGACCCCACTCTAACGTCTCGGCGGTGGCTCGCGCCCTCCCTCCCCGCACGGTGGGGCTGTGAAGGCAGCGGCTCGCGCCGCTCAGTCAGGCAGTCAGTCAGTCAGTGAGAGGCCATGGATTCCGCGGCGGCCGTCGCGGAGGGTAAGTTGTTCCGTTCGCGAAGTGACAAGCAACGCTGTCATCTCATTCCTGGCCCCGGCCTAGCGGTGCTTGTTTCGGAAAGAAGCCGAAGGGGAGGAGGGGGGGGGCAGCTCGGGCGCCTCGGTCTGACGAAGCAGCCGCCGCCGAGGTGATGCTGGCCGCGCCACACCGAGCCGCGCGTTGCCGTGGCTGTGTGAGTGCGAGCGGGGAGCGGGGGAAGGGAGGGCGGGATTTTGCTGCCGGTGTTTTTATCCGTTGCCATTTGCCTCCCCAGCCCTGGCGTGTCCACCCCCCCCTTCCCTCCCCATCCTTGTGTGTGACTTGCCCTGGGGGGAGAGCGAGAGAGCCACCAGCACCAGCACCATTCCTCCCTCCCTCTCCCACACACACACACACACACACGCCGGCAGCTCGGCTCCGGCTAAACATGTTCCAGGTGATTTTCAGGATTAAGGATTTCGGGGCAATTTCTCACCGACACCACCGCTGGAGGTTTTAAAAACAGCGTCGAATTCCCCCCTCCCCTCCACTACCCCCCCCCACCCACCCACAACTACTGGGACCTGCAGCAGCCGTCCCCCCCCACGGCTGAGAAATTGATTCCCCGAACCGTCGAAAGAAAAACAAATATATATAAATTAACCTCAGAGACGCGCAAGGAGCCAATTGCTGTCCGCCCGGTGGTGTGTGTCTGTGTGGGTTTGGAAGTTCCCACGATCACCAGGTTCCTCACCATCTTCAGCCCCAGCTGTACACACACACCCCCCACACCACCACTCCCCCCCCCCAGAGCTCCCCAGCAATTTCCTGCTGACAGCATTGAGGATTTCTCCAGTGGCGGTGGTGGGGATTTTGAGTGTATAACACCCAGATTTGAACTGATGGGAGTCGGTGTATTCCAGCAAAGCTTCGCTTGGTCCATGCACAACGGCCATCCATCCTTGCATTTGATACAGCACCTTATCAGGTCGTTGAGACATCTCGAAGTATTTGACGGGATATATGGTAAAGGGGAGTGATCGCATTTTGTGGGGGAAACACGGCTGCCAATTGCACACAGCAGCGTCCCACACACAGCCATGCCATGCCATGGCGTGAGTGATCCATTTTATTTGGGCTTCAAATTTGTGGTCTGCTTTGGTTTATGATGCGAATAAGCTTGCAATGTTGTAGTATTTGGTGATCTCAACAGTCTACTTTAGGTAGATTTGTAATAAAGCAAGAAATGCTCTTGATACCTTCTGCTGGAAGACCAAATATAAACGAGCCCAAATCAGTTATTTTTGAGTTATTTGATGCTAAAATTAATATTTTTTGAAAAATCTAACAGTTGAGGAGTGTGATTCCTATTGAACCAACTATTACAAATTTAAATAAAAGTTGAACAAAATTCTTAACATTTATTGTGGCTTAGATTGGTTCTGTACTCTGGGTGAAATGGTTGCATGCATGCCATTTTTGAACATTTGTGCTCGAGTCAACATGGCAATTCTGTTTTGTGTTTATTGTGGAAAATGAATATGAATTATTATTAGAATTTTTGAATTTGTTGTGTTCTGCTTTAAATGCGAGTAGGTTTTAGTTCAGGAACTGCAGTCATCACGGAGATTACAGTGCTATCACGTTTACCTGTTAATTCAGTATTGGAAAAGCATTTTTGAAAAATTGCCCTCATTTTAATTCTGGATCTTATACTTTTCCAAAATATGCTGCTATCAACAATTCTTCTGTTCAATGCCATTTTATCCATAAATTATGCAAGTGTGCCCTTCACAGAATGCATCTTGAATAGTCACGCAATATAAGTAGTTATTTCTTGGTTCCTGGGTAGATGATTACAGCATTTGTGTTAAATCCTAATACTGTATTGTGGTGCTAGGGTTTTACTGCATTATTGGTGGATGAGACGTTGAATCAAGGTCCTGTCTGCTTGTCCAGTTAAAGATCCCATGGCACTATTTGAAAAGAGAAGTGAGTTTCTTTTGGTATCCCAGCAATAATTCCTCAAAAAACGAGTCTTCAAAACCCATAGCATGTTGGGCCGTTCTCCCTGACGTGAAAGGCACTTTGCCAAATGTAAGGAGTATTTTTATTATTGTTTGTGTTATTATTCAAATTTATCACATTTCAGGCACTCTGTTCAAACAGTGCTATTGTATTAATTTTATAAAAATGTTAGCTTATCCTCTACAAGTATCTATAGAATTTCAGTAGAGGGCAGCCATTTTCCAGATACCGTGGACAAACGTCAGCTCAAAACTTATAAATTACGCAACCACAGTCTATTTAGGAAGGACATAGACCCCTGAGACAAATTTCTATCTTGGAAATTTTGAAAGAAACCCCCAAAGAACGCCTGTCAATTTAAAAACTCCTGGTCAATTCCACGGTTTGATTTTAGATTTTAAACCTTAAAGACTTGCAGTAAATTGATAATTTGTAAGTCTAAAAAAGAATTATCCTCTCCAAACTTCCACTCTGAAGGCTGTTTTTCTAAAATTTCCAATCTTAAGACTGAACATCTTAAGACTGAACATTAAATTTACATAGAGTAATACAGCAATTTGTCCCAATTAGTTTGTGTTGGTGTCCTCGCCCATCCTATTTCCCCCCCCATAACCTTAATTTCTTTCTCTCTCATGTAATCATTTGGTTTTCTTTTAAATGCATTGACGGAAAACATTACACTTAAACGAGAAAGAATTTAAACTTAATGAGTGCAGCCTTCAACTTAGACATGAAAATAAAACTCACCCTGCTCTACTTGGTTACAAAAGATGCACAGCACCCCTTCCACTTCCTATTCACAGCATATGGGTAGGAATTGATATTGTAGTGAACATTTTGCCTTTGTGCTCCCTTGCACTGTGCAATTTCACTGCATACAGACAAAATACAACTTTATTGTAGTGCCATCCTTTATTTAGACTTCCTCTATAAATTGCTTCTTTTCTTCAAATGAAATAACTTCAGTCTATATTGTTTTTTTCAATGAGCCAAACACAGCCTCATTGAAAAAAGAACGTAGGCTGTAAAACAACAAAAACTGAATGACAAAGACAATGACCCTCTGAAGTCTTGCAATAAAAAATTACCTACATCACCCAACAAGATAACACTGATGACCTTTCTGTTACTCATTGCAACACATTGGAGTCCTGTAGCTCAGTGGTTAGAGCACTCGCTTTGCAAGTGAGAGACCTGAGTTCAATTCCAGGCAGAGGGCGAAACCTTGGGCAAGTTTCCTTACTCCACACAGAGCCTAATAATAATCCCTCCAAAACCAAAAACAATAATAAATTGGTCATTTTCAATCTACGACTGTTTGTGGGACATTGCTGTGCGCAATTGGCTGCCGCGTTCGCCCACAAATATACAGTTAATTCACTTTACAGTGTGTTCTGTGAAGCACTTTGGGACGTCCTCCCGACGTGAAAACCGCTATATCAAATGCAAGGATATTATTACCAATATCACGCACTAGCAGTGCGATTGAAAATTATCATTGGAAAAATTAATAGTGAATTTCAAAGAACAAAAAATTCTACCTGCAGATGTGCAGTAGCATCCACTTTTTACGATACTAGTACCAGAGAAACAGAAAGTAATAATCTATACGCATCACCTATACCGCTTGCTAGCAGGAGACAGGAAATGATCACTTACATTCTTTCCAGCAAAAAACACACACAAGCGCATTATTTTCAGAAAACATTGCTAAACATACTTCTCAAATTACACTGTTGTTGCTCTATATTCTTTTGTAATACATAGCACCATCATGAATAATACCAGTCTTGGGGCGGACCCATTTCCGAGTTGCTGAATATTTCTGAAGCAGTACAAAAAATTGATATAAAACTCAATGTCCAACGTTTTTTAAGTGGTGCTTTAGTAAGTTAGATTCTTCTGTTTCAAAAATGAAATTAATAAAAACTAAGATGGTAAAGAGATGTAGGACCCAGGGCAATACCATGGTGGATGAGGGCATTGAACAGAAAATAGATGCTTCACCATGGGAAGAGGAGAAGAAATTCGAAGGGGAGTTTTCTGGGCTTTCTCTTGAAATTTTCAGGATATAGTTTTTTCTTATGTGACTAAAATAGACTATGGGTGCATAACATGGAAACGCTTAGGTTTCAGAAAGGAACTGGTTAGATATCTAAAAAGGATCCAGCTGCAGGGTATGGGGAAAAGGCAGATAAATGGAACTGAAAGTACTTAAAAACCAGCACAAACGCAATGGGCCAAATGGCCTGCTGTGCTGTAAATTTCTAAGGGTACTATGAAACAGTATTACGTTTTTTAAAAAATGTAAATTATGTGAATGAAACTAAGTAGTAGAGGACAATAGATGTATGTTTATTATGGCATTTATTATGCTATGTATTTATTGTGTATGTTTAATATGTTTATTATGGCACCCTGGAAGGTTACAAATCTTATATGCAATTATCACACAAAGTTTGGTTGGGGTGGAGCAGAGTTTGTGTCCTTTACATCATTAGGTAGCATTTTTTTCCCAAACTGGATGCTAATTAACACAATTGGTTCAAAAGTTTTATTCAGCAAATCCCCGTACTGCATTGCCTTCCACAGAAATAGTTGTGCAACTGGAATTAGAGTTGCAATAATTCTTATTGACCATCGAGTTGTTCATGTCAGCAATTGTATGCTTGAACTTGTTGGATTTTAAATGCTTTCTTTGTGAACTTGAGCTGAGTACAGTAGTTAATCTTCTTATGGTCTGAGCTCTTCTAATGATGTAAAGAACTCTGATTAGCGACTTGTTTCTTACAATGAATTGTATAAAGAATGATATTGACAACTGTTTAGGTACTTATTAT